AATAGTCCACTTTTCCAGGGCCATTTTTGAATAATTTGTCTTTTTCTCATCACTTTAGTTTCTTTCCTTATCATATATTAAGTTCTTAAATATGCCAGATCTGTATTAGGTCTATGAATCAGGCTCCATTCATTTGTATGTTAATTCTTATGTCTGTCCCACCTTTTAATAATGTAGTTTTAAAAAGTATATTTTAATATCTAGGACAGCAAGCCAAACCCATTATTCATCTTTTTTTCTCAAAAAATGTTTAATTACTTTCATCCATTTATTCCTCCAAATGGAAGTCTAGTTGAAAACCCCTTTGGCACATAATAGGTACTTAGAGATTCGTTCAACAGATATCTGCTATAATATTTAGCTTTTTAAATCCAAAAACATTTTGATTTTATTTGAATTTAATTTCACTTGAATCTTCTTTAATGTCTTGCATTCCTGAGATAAACTCTATGTGCATGCATGGCAAATCTTTAAATGACATTTAACGAAAAATTAATTTTCTTTTTACGGCTTATTTGGACTTTGTTCTTTTAGTTGTAAGACAGCTTTATCTGTGATGAATGGAGGCCATTTTTTTATTTGTCATGGAATCACATCATAGAGTGAATAGCTGTAGAACATGGTTACCCTAAACTTTAAAGAAGTTCAATTTTAAAATGCTGTTTGCAGATGGTATCATGACTGCAACCTAATTATTAAACTTTCTAAGTGCATGAATATTATACAAAGATCCTATATATGAAAGATTAATACACAAAGGAGGGAATTTGCTCTTCTTGAATTACTTCAAAAATAAATAAAATTGGGCAGCAAAAAACATTAAAGAAGCATTAAAATTAACAATATCAGCCATAATCCCATTTTCCAGAGATAACCACTCTGTACATGTATATATGTAGTTTTTATGCATAGACACGCACCAGTATATTACAACTGGGATAAGTTTGTATATGCTGTTTTATAATCCATTTTTCCTACTTAACAATAGACTGAAATTTCCCATGGCTTTAATACTCTTGTACAGTGACATATTTAATGGCTCTATATAGTGGATATTCCATTGGTTACTTTGCCAATCCTGTGTGATTGAACATTTAGCTTTTGTGGGTTTTTTCAATAGTATAAAGTCATAATAAGCATCTATACACCCCACCTTAACATTCTTCCAGTCTTTAGCATGTAATTTGTGTACATGTGCATATTCATCCTTGGACAAGACAAACTCATGGCTCCCTGGTCATGGCAAGGGCTCCCCTTCTAAAAGGAGCTGGAAAAGAACAAAGAGGACCAGGTTTCCCAGCCTCCTAGAGGTATTCTGCTCAGATTACTGGAAAAAATTCAAAGTGTTAGAGAATTGATAAAGAAAATAGTTCCAGAGAACATGGAATAGAGACTTTTAGCATCTTGGATCATTTATTCTACTTAGCAGGTGGATTTGAAGGTCTGGCTCATCTGGGTTTGTATTTACCACTTCCCTGTACCTCCACACCCAGCTCTGCAACCTCTAGCTTTTCTTCCTCTGTGAACTCCCCATTCACAATGGCCTGACAGCTCAAGGCCAACCAATCATGGATTCTCTTTGGGCCTCTTACTCTTTTTCCCTGCAGGCAGCTGGGATTCCTTATGCGGCTCTGAAGATTTCACCTGTGGGTAGATATTAGGCCTGCTTCGTCTTAGACACTGGCCCTGCCATTGGCATGCATTTGTGGTAAAGGTACTTCTCAGAAATGCTACCTGGACCCATATACTTTTGTCTGGAGCCCAGCCTCATAAAGACAGTGGGGGAGAGGTGCTGGGGGAGAAAGAATAAGGTTGGCCAGCTGCAGGCTCCAACACATAGAAATCAGAGTGGGATGCCCATGACCATAGCCCTCTGGACATAAGTGAAAGGGGTAAGTACTCGCTGAACTCAATCAGCAGCTGGTCTTCTTTTGAGCACAGGAGAGTTGCCTTTGTATCTGAGGAAACTGGCTAGGGGAGCAGGAGTCGTTGGAGTGCTTGCCAAACAGCTCAGATTGGGTAGGGGTGAGAAAAAATAAAAATTCAGAGGAAGCACACAGATTAGTGTGACCATCATGGCTTACAGATATGTAGCAGGAAGGTGAGGAGGCATTTTTTAGCTGCCATTTTCTGAATTTACTTTATTCAACTTGTGCACTCACCATTTGTTTATTGACATAATCAATACTTATAAATACACTTCTGCTATGTACTAAGCCACATGTTAAGTCTTCCAACATGAACAGGGAAGAAGGAAGGAGTGTTATGTTTACTTAGCCATCAGTTATGTGTCTGGTCCCTTCATAAAGATTTTGTCTTTTATTTATCACCACAGTTTGTGAAGTAGGTGTTTTTCTTCCCGTTTTTTTTTTCCCCCTTATCTCTGATGAGGAAACAGAGACCCAGGGAGGTTAAGTAAGTTATCCAAGGGCACACAGCTAATAAGACCTGGTATTGGGAGTCAGACTTAGTTCTTTCTGAATGCAGAGCCTGGGCTTTACTCAGGGCTGTGAGCTGCCTCTCGGGATGTGCCTGCCATTGGAGAGCTTACCCTCTCATGCAAAAAACAGTTTGTTGAGCAAATAGTGGCCAGTTATCTCTGCTGGGGCTCCCTACCTCGGAACACTTGAGAACCCCCTTCTTCTCCCACCATGATCTAGCCTCCAAGAGATCTTGTTAAGCAAGTTTGTAGTCCCCCTCTGGTGGCTCTAACTTTTATCAGCACCCCTCACGGATCCAGGAAGGGAGACTTGGGTCAAGTTGTTATCCCTCTACTAGCAGGGGTTAGAGGCCAGGGAATCTTCTATTAGGAAGGCTTCCAGTAAGGACACTGCCTAGGCATCTGTAAAACTCCTTTCATATTTAATTTCACTTCTTCTGGCTCTCAGTAACCGTAGTGAGAGTACCACCTCTGACTGAACTTATCCTTAGAGCATAGGGTCCTGCACACAGGCTTCATCTCCTACCATTTGCCTCAGCTTCCTTATATTCAAGCTAAGGAATCTAAATCATGTCTTTTCAGTTAATTTTTCTGCCAGCCCAAGCACAGGGTTCCATCTAATCCATGAGTGTTAGAAAGTGGACCATGAGGGGCGCCTGGGTGGCTCAGTTGGTTAAGCGACTGCCTTCGGCTCAGGTCATGATCCCAGGGTCCTGGGATTGAGCCCCGCATCGGGCTCCCTGCTTGGCGGGAAGCCTGCTTCTCCCTCTCCCGCTCCCCCTGCTCATGTTCCTGCTCTCGCTGTGACTCTCTCTGTCAAATAAATAAATAAAATCTTTAAAAAAAAAAAAAAGAAAGAAAGAAAGTGGACCATGAGTAAGGCAGATGCCGGATGATAGGATGCAGTGGTTAGAATTCAAGAGATTGTAAGGTCTCTTTTTGACCTTGCTTTAGAAAAATGGTTCACAGCCATTTAGGGAGCCATTGCCCCTTTTGAAAATCTGGTGAAAACTGGAATTACACAGATTCTTTTCTTGGAAAAATGGGTACTCATGGACATATATGCAATAATTCGCATGCAGTTTCATGAGGTTTACGGCCCTCCCCAACCACACACATTTTTGAGGCAGGGTTAGGAAGGTTGCTTTGGTTTACTAGGTGCTGCTGGAATGTGTGGCTTAGTATGTCCTCTGGTAAGCAGAGTTGAGAGTTACCTAGGCAACTCTTTGCAGGCAGTATCTCCTCCCCTCCCCCCCAACCAGCTTCTTGTTTTTTTCCTATAATTCTGGAGAAGGATTCTAGCTTTGTGAGATATTTGGATTACTCTGGTTTCCTATTTAGCACTTGATATTGTTATGCTTCTTTCTAAAGAAATAGCAGGCATCACAAGCCAGACTCTCTTGAAACTGGCCCTTTCCTAGCTTATGCTGGCTCCTGGTTATGCTAGGTTTACAGGGAGCACTTTGTTGCTTATCTCTGGCAAACATTAACTCATATTTCTGTTATTCTGAAGAGGGTCTGGGTCATGGGAGAAAAAACACATGCCTTAGCTACTCTTCTCCCTGTTCCCCTAAACCTGCCAGAGAGACCTTGGTTCTCACCACTATCCTGTCTGGTCTAGAACCTTGCTAAGGATCCTATAACCCTTTGCCTCTTCTCTAGATACTGCTTTCTCAGTTTTTAGACAATGTCTTAGAGCTTGAGTTTTATTATCCCTTTGGTATTTTCTGAATATTTGTCTCTTGATATACTTCTATCATTGCATTTCTTATATGATATTAAAATTACATGTTGATGTGCCTGATTCACCCCCTAGACTAAAAGTCCCTTAGAGTCAGGAGCTCTACATTTTTTATCATTGTACCCATAGTGACTGAACTCTGCTTGAACATATATGTGCTCAATAAATATTTGTTGAACTGAATTGAGCAGTGTTTAGATACCCAAGGTAATAATCTAAGGAAAGATTTAAAATTTGCTTAAAACTCTAGGAATTTTTCCATGGCCAATCCATCTACCTCAGATATGACTAACCAGAAAAACGTAGTATTGGGATCCATAAGGAGTTTATGCTGCCTCGTTTCCATAGGGTGTGTGTGTGTGTGTGTGTGTGTGTGTGTGTGTGTGTATGATGTGCTCAGACCTTTCTTGGCTACTGCAATTATTTAAAAATAATACCAAAACAAGTCTTTTTTTTCTCTCCAATAATCTCTCCATGTTTATGTCCCTTCAACACTTCTTCATATTTGTTTATTTCCCTGATATATCTTAATGTCTCTTTCATCTCTGCCTCTTTCCCATTTGGTTCATATATCTTAGGACAGGCTGCATAGCAGTCACTCTGAGCAGCAACTATACAACTAGCTCAGGACCAAGGACAGCAGCATACCTGGCCTTGAAGTGGGAGGAGGTGCTTTAGTTTGCTGAAGTTTATTCAATAATATGACCTCCGGGTGTGGTTTTCTCACCTGTCAGGCTGCACTTGCAATTCTGTAATCCTGGTTATTATTTGGCCCTAGGTGTTCCATGCAGTGGACCTGTGTCCAGTCTGTGTCCACTCTGTCCCTGTGGTATTGCTTCCACTGATGGGTAATAAGACTAGGGCAAGAATGGCACAGCTAAGGAGTCAGAAAGTGTGGAGGTAGGAGTGGAGAGAAGCTCTGGGCTGGGTGAGAAGGACTGCTTTAGGAGCTGCCTATGAGGGGCTCCTGCTCTGAGCTCTGCAGTCAGTTTTGCTTCTTTACTGCTACCTGCACCTGCATTTCCAGCTATGGGGAGCAGGGCAGAGTGGGGGGTTAGTGGGGAGGTACAGCAACATTTCATGTTTGCATACCTGCTATTCCACAGTGACAGAGGCCAAAGCTGGATTTTCAAATCAACAATTTCATCTTTAACCTAAAGTCATGTCCTGATTAAATTAAAATTAATTAAAATTCAAATATGTACACTGGGGAAGAGGGAGGGGGACCGAGAGTGAGGGTCCCAAGGACTGAGCCTTTTATATATCTGAACCACAGCACACACCTTCTGCCTCCACCTCTGAGTATCTCTGCAATGCTCTCTAAATATATAAGCAAATATACTGCTAATGTTCAACAGTTGATTCATATTCATCACTGACTAATTCATCACTGGCTAATGTTCTGTGTTACTTTGAGGACCCATGCAAGAGTAATACTCAGTGTAACAAAAAGACAATAAATCTGCCATCACCACCATCCATGAGGTATGAGCGCTTTAAATAACCTAGTCAGCAAAGAATCAGTTTTTAAAAAGTGATGGGCAGATATAATCACTTCTGAAGTGGCCATTTTCTTATGTTTAGAGAACACTGAATGTTGTCAAGTTTTCTGGGGAAGGAGGGAGTGAGGGAGGGTGAGTGAGTGAGCCTGTGTGTGTTGCAGCTGAGGTCTCAACTCAGCTAGTATTAAATCTTGTGAAGAATAAACAGAAACGGTTTGCTCATTAGCTGGGCTTAGAGAGGTGTTACCCACATGTTTAAAGTGCTAATTATTAGTGATCTTTAATGCAGCTAATTTAGCAATGGTGTTACAAATTTCTGCTCTTTAAAAGTAGCCCATTAGCCAGGACTTTATAGCTAATATTGACTTTAGAAAGTTAATATTGAAATTGGCCACAGTTAGAGTTCATGTGGAAGCGTGAGAGAGAGAAAGATGAAGATGGGGGTAGAAATAGGCAGGGAGAAGGATAGGGGGAGGGAGAGACACAGCAGCCAGTGGGCACTGTTGGTGTGGAGGGCACTGTAGCACTGTGGGTGAATAAGAATCTGTCTTGGGTGGCTCCTCAGCTGTGTGCTGGGCACTGGAGGGACAGAGAGAAACATCTAGCCCCACCCTCTGGAGCTTAGGGTCTCCAAAGGGATCCAGGTGGAGGAGCTGAGATGGCACAAGAGTGAGGAACCTGCCAAGTGACCTTCAGAGAAGGAGGAACCAGCCCAGCCTGGGCAGGGGAGGAGGCAGCGGGGAAGACACCCCAGATAAGATACATGGCTCACTAGAGTGCAGGGCAGGAAATGGACGTTGTGGGGAGTGATGGACATGTGTGTGTCAGACTTCAGAGAAAGGTAGGCATTGCTTCTACCTGGTGGAATGACTGCCTAGTCTGGCCCCTGTCGTCTCAAGTCCCTGACTGCTACGTCATGTTGCATGAGACCTAGTCAGTTGGCTTGGAAAAGCTTAGTATTTAGCATTTGCCCAAAGAGGAGCCCACATTTTTGTTTCTCCCTCCTCTCCCTTTTTGCGTTGAAATCGGGTTAGCTGAGGCTTGTGAATGTCCTTCTCTTAGAAGTGCCAGGGAGGAGCTGAGCTCTGCTACACTGTCCCTCCTTCCCTAGGAAAGAGGGAGGATGCTGCTGATGCTGCTGGGGCTGGTTTGACACTTGCAGGTGTCAGTGATGAGGGATGGTGGCTTCCAGCAGCCGGCCTCACTGTGGGCGGATGGATCCCCAGGTCGGGGAGAGGCAGGCGGATCTCCGCACCGTGCTGTGTGTTCTGTTGCTGACACAAAGCTGCCCAGTCTCCTTCTCTGCCAGATTTATTCCTTCTTGTCAGCGCACACTTCCTGCCTCAGTGGCAGTTGTTTTAACTAGAGCTCCAAGGAACATATTTATAGTCGCTGGAGGAGTTTTCCAACAGCCAGTTTCCTCAATAGCTCATGAGCATCTGTAAAGAGGAGACAAGACATTCACCTCCATCTGCGTGCATGCGTGTGTGTGTGTGTCTTTCTCAACAGCTCTTTCTTTCTTGCTCTTACCCATTTTCTCTCATTCTTGCCACCTCTCTCCTTGTCTTGTGTTATTATAGGAAAGAGGTGAAGGAGAGAAAAGACAGTGAAGGGAATGAAGATCATCGCCTCTACCCACCAATGACTTCCTTCCCAACCCCAGCTGTACTGACAGTGTCTTCCCCCAGGGCTTTGCCCATCTAGTCCCTACACAGAAGGGACCATGTCCTTAAGTCTCTTTCCTCTATGATTCAGTTCCATATTGCATCTTCATGGGGTCTTACTCAAACTCCCAGCCTCCTACTGGCCTGGCAGCTCCCAGCAGATACCTCACAGACAAGCATTCTTCCTGCTTCTCTTGGAACTTTAGGAGAAGATAAAAAGAGACAAAGTTCCAGTGCCTCCTGTCCTCATATTGTAGCAACCACCTCAGCATGGGTGATGTGTCCCATCCTCCCCCAGCGCCTTACCCAGTAGAACGTGACATGGAGTTTGCAGTCGGAGCCTGCTGGTTACAGCTCTGTTCTGGAACCACAGCCTTCCTTTTGGACCAGCCAGATTCCACCCAGCTCTGGCCTGCACTGCAGCACAGTCCCAGCTCTCTGTGCTTCTGAAGGCACTTGCAGCCACATCTCTGCTGATGCCTTCCCAGGAGCCTGCCCTATTGAGATATCAGGTTCAAAGTACAATCACAGAGTCCAGCACCACCTCCATGCCCTCCTTTCCATCACTCCCTAACCCTGCTTTACTGTTTAGCCAGTATGCTCTCTCCATCTCTGGCATGTGCCCTGCTTGCCCCTTCTTCTTTGCCTTGGCTTGTGCCGCTTGCCACTAGGACACCATTCTGTGGCCCTACCCTTACTCGAATTCTGGTTCAAAGACCACCTCCTTGGGGGAGCTGTCCCAATAAATTGCTTCATACTCACCACTCTTACTCTGTCTTCTTAGGATCTGTGCCTGCTCAGTTTCAGTCCAGTATTTCTGGACTCTCTTTTGCATGATAGGCACTGTGCTAAGTGCTGGGGTAGGGCAAAGAGTAAGACCTGGTCCTTACCCTCAGGGCATCGGAATCCGTTAATGGAGGGCAGAATGAAAACACAGACATGACTTTCAGGAGAGAGTATAAGGCACAGTCAGGGATGGCTCCGCTGGATGGGAAGGTCAGGGAAACTGCACAGAAGAAATGATGGATTTGAGAGAGATTAAAGAAATGGAATCAGCAGAACCAAGCAACTGAACTGATATTTGGGGTGTAAGAGTGGGAGGAGTCTAGGAGGCCTCCCATGTTTCTCTTTAGGTAAGTTAGTAGGTGACGGCACCAATAATCAGGATATGGGGATATAGGACAGCCAGGCTGGGGGAGGGCGACAGGGTCTTCATCAGAACCTCAGAATTGGAAGTTGTTTTTCGTACAGAGTCTGGTAGCTTCCTGGTGTCAGGGGAAATGGGCACTAGGTATTTTATTGGGCTGAAAACTCTCAGAGGGCAGAAACTGTGTCTCCCCTCCAAGGGAGATTATTGCCTGGGATAAGCACTGTATTCTCATTAGATGTGGAGCTCCCTAGCGTGGGGGCACCTCTCCTTCTTCTATTTCTCATCCAGTATTGCCCAGTGTTTGGGGCTTTGTACCCATGGGTGGGAGTGCAGGTACGATGAAGAGGCATAACCAACTGGCTCCTTGTCTTCCAGGGCCATCTCGGAGATGGTGTCTTGGTCTGTAAATGTATATATGATACTGAGAACAGTTAGAGAGGGCAGGGCTCTGAGGGCTGAAGTAGCGGGGAAGATTTGTTGTGAAATTAAAATACCTGATACATGAGAGAGTGTTTTAAGCTACCAAAATTCTGAGCAGTTTGGACAGGTGTTATTCATAACCACTCCTACTCCCAAAAAAACAAGATATGGTCCAGTCTCAGTGCCCTGGAGGGGAAACTCATCTATCTCTCCGATAGCCTTTTTACTCCAGAGCTGAATCTGGGTGATGGGTTCCAGGGTAGTGGCTGACTCTTTGGAATTGTTGGGCGGTGGTGAGGCGTCTTCCCATGGTGGAGGTGGGAGGGGTGATGAACAGCACTAGATCAGATGTGAGAGGTTCTATTTAGACTAGGCTAAAGGATGCTTTTATCTATCTCTGTCTCTAGGCAGCTCTGGAATAGAAAGACATATGTTGGTGTATAGATCTTCCACAAATGCACCGTACATAGGAATCACTGGGATTTCTTGTTAAAATGCAGGTTCTGATTCTGTAGGTCTGGGGTGGGGCCTAGATTTTGCATCTCTAGCAAGGTTCTAGCTGGTAGGTGAGGCTTGTTACTTTGAGTAGCAAGGCTTTAGGACTCACCTTTCCTTTGAGTTCCCTTGCATTCTGTACAGGTGATGTCCTGTCTCTGATAACAGCTCACTGTCCTATCTGCATACTTGTCTATCACTGCCTGCAAGCCCCCTGGAGAGTGGGGTCCCTTACTTATTTGTCTAAGTACCATCACACTTAACATAAGGCCTAGCACATAATAGGTGCTCAGTGAAGAATTGGTGGAAGAATGACTCTGGGAATAGGAAACAGTCCCTCTTATACCCAAACTATAGCTCGACCTCATGAGCTCTTGGGACTCTCAACTGTAAACCAGATGTCTCCTTTGCAGCAGATCCGCCAGTGATTCGGGGCAACTTTGATCAAGGCTTCCATGCTGGACACACAGGGATGGAGTGGAAAGAGGAGGCAGAGACCTACCTGAGCAGTGGTCACACAGGGTCAGGCCCACTCGAGGCAATGAGATAATATTGAAATACACAGTAACTTCTCAGTAAGTGCACGTTAAGGGGGTGTGGCTGAGAACCAAAAGGAAATAAAGAGCAATCCATGGGCACCCTGGCAGCTTGCACCTCCAAATGCTCAACACTTAGCTGCTTGTGTCTTCGCTTGTTGAAATCTGCGCTGCTTTCTGGAGGAGGCTAGCATGGAGCACAAGACACACAGCTGCCCTGGGATACTCACCACCATCCTGGAGCCAGGAAACAAGAGACAGAGGGCCTCTGATACCAGGGCCAGCCCCGCTGTTGCCACGGGGCGGGGCGGTTGGGGGGGATGCGTTGCAGGGGCTGGGAGCCAGGGTGAGGAAGCTGGGCACTTTTCCACATGGGGAAGGCTGGCTGGGAAAAGGTGAAGGGGAACGGGCAGCAGCAATGTAAGCATAACACATTTGGAGTGAGGAGGTGGCAAAAGTGGGGCTTAGAGAAGTTCCATGCTGGAGATCCTGGGGAGGTGGCGGTGGTAATTTTTACTTCCCTAATAGATGCGGAGCATTTCAACTTTGCTAATTAACCGAACAGCAGGCTTGTAATTCTGACAGCAGCAGGACACAAATGGGGTGGGATTAGTGCTGAATGCCAGCAAAGCATGCCTTTGTCCTTAGGAGAAAGCAGGAAACTCACATTGGGTCAGGTCCCTGAGGGTGCCCTCTGGTTCTTCCTTTTTTTTTTTTTCCTACAGTAACTCCAAAGGGCACAGGGGCTTTTATTTCTTCTCAGGCTTTCTTTAGAGCTGGCAAGGGATCTACTGTTTCACCTGTTTCTTTTAAAGGGGGAAGCTGATCTACAGTTGGTCTAGAGTTTGTAGTGTAATAGTGCTATTATCAAATATACCTTGTTCAGAGATAACAGTTGCAGGTCAGGTCTGCCTGCCTCTTCCAAGGTATGTGTGCCTCACAGAAGTTCTTCCATCACTAGCCTTCCATTTCGGTAACTTGGGCTGTTCACAAAATGGGGTGATGTGTCTTGGGCATCCCGATCCCTAAGCTGATTCCTGGAAAAGAATACACTGGGAGGCCAGGGAAGAGTTGTTTTATCTTCCCAAAGCACACTGAACCTTGTTAGGGAGTTTGTTTCCAGTACTTTCTCTCAAAGCATATTGATCTGATAATCTGAGGATCTTAAAGGCCAATAAATATGAAGAAAATGTTTGAAAAGTCTCAGACTATCAGAGCTGAGTGGGACCCTGGCGGTCATCTACGCAGATCACCAGCCCTTGGTGTGACAGATGAGGCCACTGACCTTGCGCATGTCACTTGAGAAAGGGTTACCATTTCATTCATTTCTTTATCCTTTCATCAAATATTTATTGAACATTTTCTATGAGGCTGCCCAGACATGTACCTGATAGTGAAAACATGTTGCTATTTCATTGGTCCTGTTTGAGTTAGTGTTCAATGGACTTCTCCTTTATTATAGATCCCGACAGCTGGCTTCACAAGGGCCTGTGGGAATTGATACATAGAACCCTCAGCCAGTGCAAATAGGTTTTCTACTCAAGGTCGCTGACTTCTGAGCTGCTGGGCTAATTAGTTTAGCTCTACTTGGCTTTACATAATGCATATATTGTTGAAAAGTTGTTTGTAATTCAATTTTTGGCAAATGAAAAACTAATTCAAACCATTAAGGCAACCTTTATTTAAAGAGACCCTGGAGCAAATCTTTTTATAATGTGAAAAATCTTGTTGTTGTTGGAAACAATTATCCCCTAGTTAAGGATTTTGTAAATCTAGACACTTTAGGTTTTCTTATGGTAGGCTCACAACCTGGGAGGTAGTTCAGCTGTGGTCTAAACCAGATGGGAGAAGACTCTGGCCTGAGAAGAGGAAGCCCTAGGAATCTTAGACCGGCCCAACCCAAGATACTGACATTTACTCCGGCCAATGGCCAATGGTTGCAAGCTGCAGGGACAAGCCACTGCCTCTCTCTCAGGCCCTGGAGTCTGGAGGGGAGAAGGAAGAGGTGGGGCATGATGAGTGGGGTGTGAAGGATGGAATTCAGAGCTCCTCCTTGCTCTCCCTCCACAGGTAGGAGCAATGAGCGGGTAGGATAGGGAACCTTTTGCTTCCATTATAACAAATTCCAAGCTCTTCCTTAATGTCTGGGGACTTCTTGGAATTAGAGCCATCTTGTATACTTTAAGGGAGGTGGGGGGAGAGGAAGAGCAGTGGAAAAAATAGGACAGGTGTTTTGGAGAAAAGAGGGTTATGTGATTCTTGTCAAATCTCAGTTTGGGCCTTGCTCCTTTTGAACTTGTAAATAATCTGGAAGCAGACAGGACTAAAGTTTAACTTTTCTTATTAAAAGTTTTTCCTATAGAAATTAAGGCGTATGTAGCAATATTGAGGAGAGTGTTTTAAAACTGATGTATACAGAGATGTATTTCACATGTGAAAACAGGCACTTTTAATGCAGAGGCATCATTTTATACAAACAACTCATGCATCAGCTAAAGATGATCCTTGTCTAGTTGGTGAAGCCGAGTAGGACCCTTCCATGCCAAGGAAGCCAAAACATCTTACTGCATGAATTTGAAAAAAAAAAAACCCAACCCTATGTATCTATTTGTAAATTCTGTAATAATTTATATGGATCCTAAGTGGTTTCGAGTAGTGAGATTTAGTAGTTTTTCTGTGTTGGGTTATAAGGTCAGAGTGTAACGATCTATACAGACAATGCTTATAGTTAGAGTTTTGTTTGGTTTTTTTTTGTCGTGTTATGTTTTTCTTCTTCTATTGCCCATGTTCTTCTCAAAGTGAGCCTTGTAGTGGGTTATTCTGGCATTAGGTACTGTGGGCCAGCTTGTAAAGAGAAACAACTGATGAATAAAAAGGCTCACTGTTTTCATGTAGTGAAAAATGAAGAAGAAATAGGTGAAATGATCAGAGACACTTTGGGAATTTGTTTGGGGTTAGGATATAACCCCTGACCATGGCAAACTGGCATTCTGGAGACACATCTCTCCTCCTCTTTGGTTGAGTGTGCAACTGGCTCATTTCCCTTCCCTATAGGCCAGTGATCTTAACCCTGGGCTGTTGCCGGAATTCCCAGGAGAGTCTCTTGAAGCAGTCAGGGTTTAGAGGTTGAGACAGCCCTGAGCGGGGACCATCATCCCAGTACATTTCTCTGCGCATTGTCAGATTGGGACCACAAGGGAGTAAGCCAAGTGGAAAAAGGCACTAGAGTGGTTGCCTGTGGTCTCCGGTTCTGTTTCACTGAGCTGACACAGAAGCTCCTCTCTCCAGGCATCTGTGTGTGTGATGTCCCTAGTGGTGATCCACAGCAGAGATTCCAGTTATGGCTCACAGGGCATGGGCTGGCTCTCCCCGAGAGTCTTTGTGGGGTGCTTGGGCTAAATGGAAGGGCGCAGTGGGCTGGCCTGCTGTTTTGTGTGTGCATGCGGAGGCTTCTCTTCCCACGTGCCTTGTACTCACACCGGGCTGGGTTGTCCTTTGAGGCTATTGTTTCTCCAGGCACACCATTATTTTCCATTCTATGTCAGACCCAGGCCTCTGCCTTCAACCCCCTAACAGGAAGTCAGCTGGACCCCAGAAGGGACTTTGCAGCTGAGAAGCGAAATTTAGGCAGAGAATGAGTTGCTGAAGAAGGGAGTGCATTTCCTTCCCAGGAGATTGGTGTCTCCCCACCTGCTGTCTGTTGTGGACTGGTGAGGGTGACATTGAAGGGGAGGAGGAAGAAGGGTTATTGCATTCAATTTTGCTTCCCACTTGGGGATATTGTGGTTTACTTTTACAGTTTATACAATGAAAACTAAGAGTCACTGTGCCAGGTAGAGGAAAGGCAAAAACAATTATTTAGGGCATTGTGGTCCATCCTGATATTAATTAACCTGTTCCTTTGATGTTTCCTGAGTGCTTACTGTGTACCAGACACCATGCTAGGCAAAGAGGTACAAAAGTGGCTTTTAAAAAGCCCCATCGTCAAGTTGCCCACAGCAGCAGGGCCGTGGCTGTTTCCTGCAAGGCGCGGAGCTTTGCGTGTGTGGTGGGGGCAACTTGGATTGTCCTGTCCCTGGAAGGGACACCCCTGTGGCCTGGCATCATGTGGCAGTGTCCTTTATGTTGCGGACCTTCTCCCATTCCATCGGCTCCATTGGGCTGGGCTGTAGCACCTGAACAAGGCACAGCTTTCTGGCGCATGATGGGGTTGGGCTGCTGAGGGATGTACCCAGGGATTCAGCCATCTGACCTCTTTCATCCCGATTCCTTCTCTTTTGTCGTCCCACAGGGTCTTTTCGGAATGATGGTTTGAAAGCTTCTGATGTCCTTCCCATCCTAAAGGAAAAAGTGGCCTTCGTGTCTGGTGAGTGTCTGTGGAACTTTGCTCTGTAGGGGACCTGGAAGAGTGTGTGCACACATGCATGTAGGCAATCGCTTCTTGGTGTGTGAGAGGGAAGTGGGGGTGGGGCGGCACTCGGCATGGCTGGCTGCATCCTTGCTCCAGAGGCAGGCAGACAGAGGAGAGAGAGCCCTGATCCCAGCTGGGTGCTCTGAAGGACACTCACAACCACGGGTGGGTGCCCCTCACCTCACAGCCCCCACCCATACACCTGACCTCACCACCCCCTCCCCGGCCAGTCAGATCCCTCATGGGCCACTGAGGTCCCTATGGCAGCTGCTCCAGTTGGAGGAGTCTGTTTACCTCACACATTCCCAGAGGTTTTATTTGGGTTCATCTCTGAGCAGATCATGGATAGGAGATGAAAATTTTTTCTGGCTCCTCTTTATCGCTCCTTCCTGGCAAAGGGAACTCAATTGAGTGTTTATATCTTATTTATTTATTTTTCTGAGTAATGAATTCCAAATATGTATTTGTGGCTTTTCTCTCCAACCCATCTTGTGCACCTGCATCTTTTAATGTCTGATTCAGGGGCCAGCAAACTATAGCCCGTGAACTGGCCACCTGTTTTCCTAAGTAAAATTTGATTGGAACACAGCCATGTGCATTTGTAGTATTCATGTCCTATTGCCGCTATAAAAGTTACCACAGATTTGGTAGCGTACAGCAGCAAAAATGTATTCACTCATGGTTCTGGGAGCCAGAAATCCAAAAGCAGTTTACTGGTCTGAAACCATGGTGTCAGCAGGGCTGTGCTATTTCCAGAGCTTCTTAGGGGAGAACTCGCCTCTTGCCTCTTACAACGTCCGGTGGCTGCCGGCATTCCTTGGTTTGTGGCCACGTCACTCCCATTTCTGCCACTGCGGTCCCATTGCCTTTCCCTCTCCTGTCTGCGTCAGATCCCTCTCTGCCCGCCTCTAACGAGGATACCTGTAACTGCATTTAGGGTCTGCTCATATAACCCAGGATATCTTCCCATCTCAGAATCCTTGAATAGTCACATCTGTAGACTCTTTTTTTTCCAAATAAGCTAACATTTACGGGTTCCAGGGATTAGGACCTGATATTTTGGGGGGCCGCTATTCAGCCTGCTGCAGCAGAGTTGAGTGGTTTCCTCAGAGCCCAGATGGCCGTAACTTTAAGATAGTTACTCTCTGGACCTTTAAGAAGAGTTTGGTGGCCTGTGATGTAGTTGAAGGCAAGCCACAAGGGCACCAGCGTCGCTGTGGCTGCCAGTTCCTGGGCTCCGTCGTAGGCCTCCATTATAGAATCGCCAGCAGGGGCCAGCGTGAGGGCAATGCCCCGCCAAGGATCACATTTAAAGAAACATACCCAAGTGCTTGTGCCTTGTGGACTGAGCATTTGTTTCTGGATGATCCTGATGGTCTACAAGAGATGGTGGCAGGATCACAGGGGAAGAGCGAATACAGTCCCACAGTATATGGTTTCACTCCAGAGCTGCCGCTGGCCTGGCTGATGGGCAACAGACCAAATGGAGAGAAGGGAGAGAGAGGAGGGGGTTGGGGAGGAGAAACCAAGCAGCAGGTGTCTCCTGCCTATTGAGAGGGAAGGTGAGAGACTGATGATTCAGAGTGTAGAGGTAGGAGGTGAGGGCAGAGTATGGGATGGAAGTATGTGAGGTTCTAAATGCACTCCTCGTTATTATTATTAGTATTAGTGGTAGTAGTAGTAGTGATACTAGGGTTTTGTTGTTGTTGCTGTGAGATGACATTGACTGAGAAGCTGCCTTTCCCCATTAGTGTTAGGTGCTTACATATCTTATCAGGTAGTGAACCCCTGTCACTGAAGATGCTGAAGCCCAGGCTGAACAGCCCCTTGGCAGGGTCACGTGGCAGCAGTTTTGGTATGGGGAGAGGTATAGGTAAGACAACCTCCAAAGCCTTCATACGCTTGGATCGGAGTGCTTGCTAAACATGTGGAAGGACCCTGTGTGGAGGTCCTGAGGGCCACTGGGCAGCGCTAGGCCCCCGACTTCTGCTGCCCATAGCCTGGCTCCAGGATGTGGCCCACAGCCCTCTATTGTGTACTCTCTACTCCAGTAGAGCCCAATCCAATCTTTTCTTCTTTATGGCCCTGAGCCTCGTTTAACCTGATGTCCTTCCTGTCCCCTGGGTATCCTGCTAATCCTCCCATGTCTCTCATGCCCGAACTTCCTCTACTGGCTGTGCTTTACTCACATTTTTTGCCAGCTTGAGCCTCTCTTCTTCTTCCCAAGTCAGTTCCCACTTTGCCTCCTCTAGGAAGCCTTTCTGGCTTTAATGCAGAGCCTCCGAACACCATCCTGTTCTGCATCAGTTCAGGACATATGAGTGCACATGGGAACCCTTGTTTGATTGTTCAGTTGGAGCCCTGAGGCCAGGCCCAGCCAGCCCTAGAAGAGACCTTCCCAACTATAGGGAATTGTCCTAAGGGAGCATACAGAATCAATATGCCAGGAAGACGGGCCAGCATGAGGCAGGTCGAAGTTTCCCAGAGCAGGAGCAAGGGGGCTGGGGGCGTGCAGTTCACTCCCTTATACTGATGTGGGTTGAGCACCCTCGGGTACGTTTTATTCATCTGTGCACGGTGCCAGGAACTTTTGGGCTTAGGGAACATTGTCTTTCCGTGCCTGGGAAGGATGCTTAGGATGCTAGGGAGACGGCTGGCTGCATCTAAAAAAAAACAGAAACAAGAAACAAACCAGTAAAGCCTCTTACATCCTGAGCTTTTAAAAGAAAAAACACAAGAATAAAACAAAACAAAGAAACCCAGAATTAAAGAATGCAGTGTTGCAGTAGCATTTCTTTCTGTGAAGGAAGGTGGGGAGCAGAGAAACAAACTGTTGGTTGTGCCTGCCCCCCTCTGTTAGTCCCCCCAGCTGTGGCCAGGGCAAAGGAAAGCGTGCTGCCATGGGAACGCACATTTGGAAGAATCCAGCGAGCGCAGCCCACCAGCTTCTGTGTGTGGGCATGTGCACGTGTCTGTGTGACGGGCTCTGTGGCTGTGCCTCAGGGAGCCTCTGTCGTTCCAGCCTGGCCATCCTGCTCTGCATTCACGGCCTGTGCGCCCCCCACTCCCTCCCTTGCCCTCTCTGGCTCCCTTTGACTGCCTACACCTCCCACTCTCAGCACCCATTTGTGCCTCTTATGCAGTATGCTTGTACAGGGCTCATTTCACCTCTCTTACCTTTATGTGCACTCACACCCTCCTTTCGGCCACGCCTGATGTCCCTCTCTGCCTCCTTATCTCTCATCAGCAGCATTCTCTAGACAGCTGCTGTGGCACAATCTCAGACCCTGGACCCATGTCTCTCAAAGCGTATTCCATAGAACAGCAGTCCTGCCAGATGAGCCTCAAAAAAGAAAAAGGGGTTCTACAATCCTAAGTTTGGGAAATGCATATTATAGCTGCCTCATGAAGATGTGCCATGTTCATTAAAGCACATGTCCATTAAACACATGAAACTGTCTCCCAAACTACAGAGTGACCTCATTACCTTGAAAAAAATCATGTGTATCCATTAACATCTCTCAGAACTATTTGGTATAACTTTTGGTACAATTCCATCAATGTATTTTTCTTGTTCCCACCCCCCCAACTCTCTACCTTTCCCAGTTGCCCTAACTGGAGCCCCCTGAAAATTTTGAGCACCATTCCCCCTTTGGCTCAATCAGGGAAGCCTTCACTGCCCCTGCTTTTGGCTTTGCCTCTTCCCCAACCCTGTCCTGCCCTGCCTCTGTGCCTTCTAGAACATCAGACCATCCCCTCCTCCTTCCTTTTTATCTCTGTCCTGTAGCTCCTGCCACCAAAGCTTTGCACACATGGGCCCACAGCAGGAACGTAATGCGTAAAGGAATGACTCTTGAGGACCCTGCCAGCATCTGTATCGCCTTTTCAGAACTCGGCTACTTTTGTCTCGAACCCTCTCAGATCCACCTCTGTAATACACACTGACTCCAGCAGGGGGTTCTCATTCTTCATCTCTGCTTATCACCCTTCGTAATTTCAGCACCCATGTCAATTATCCATCAACTCCTACACCTTCATGGCTGCTCAGCCTTCTTGGTACCAAAGTTTTCTACCTCCTTACCTTGGCCATGCATATCCAAGACCTTAACTTTGATATGTGTGTCTGTGGCCTCAGTCTCTTACCTTTGACCCTTTCTGATGTTCCCCTATAAATTGGGAAAGGATGGCTATCAGATGAGCAAAGCATCTGCTGTCCCCTCTTCCCAGGGGACTCATGATCCAGCAGGACATTTCCTACCTTCAGTGGGCCCTCCCCACTTATGCATGCACTAGCTTTATTCTGCCTCCACTCAAGTTAGAACCTAACATGGACACCATGGCTAGACCTTCCAACAGAACTCTCACCATGCCCCAGTTCCCTGCTTCATCTCTTTTAGCCCACATCATACACAGTCCTGCTGTTCATTCTCTAGGGATCCTGGCCAGTGATAGTCTGCTCCCCTTTCTCCCAGTACCTCAAGCCTATCCTGACTTGTTAGGTGGGCTAGTCTGCAATTTCACTTAAAGAACAAGGTCCCCCAGGCAGGCTGAATTCCTCCCTCTCCTTGATTTATCTGTTTTCTCCTCCCTCTTTGAGTTCTGTCAGGCTGCTTCAGAGAAGGGGGCAGGACCCCTCCCCTTGCACCCGCTCTGAGGCCTCTTTCTACCTATCGTCCCACTCTTTCCAGCACAATGACGCTCTTTCTCTATGCTCCTTCCTGCTCTGCTTCCTACATTCTTACATTCTTACAAGGTCATCTCCTTTCTGAAAAACACCTGGCTGATCCTACTGCCCCCTCTCAAATCTTTATCCTTGCTTCCTGAAAGGGGGGGGTGCTGCACTGCCCCAGGCTTTCTCCCCTTCTTCCTCCTCTGCCATCTGGAACCTTCCCCAGCATATTTATGAAACTCTTCTTTCCAAGGGCAGAACTGGCTCTAGCTCAGGAAGTACAGTGCCAACAGTCCTCCAGACTCCTTAGTGAGCCTTTGCCAATCAGACCAGCCTTGGCTCCCCATGTTCTCATGGCTCTACTGTGTCCATGGACGGTCAGGAATAAAGGCAGCAACTGCAGTTAAAACCATCCAAGAGTGAAAATCCTTAGGATGGGTCAAGGCTAGAGAGGAAGGTTGAGGGTATGGGAGACGCTCCCAGCCTTTGGGAAACCTTCCATCTAATGCTTCTGCTTCCTTTTCCTCATGTGGAAGGCAGTTGGGAAATGGGGATCATTTCCAAAGCAGACAAGTTGGGGGTGGCTATTCATACAGAGAGCCAGGCCTGTGGTATGGAAGATCTGGAGCTGGGGGCTTGGGTCCAACTCTGTGGTATATCTACACAAATCTGCTCCAGTGTAGGGCTGGGGGTGGTGGTGGTGCTGCTGAAACATCTTTTTTAGTCAGGGCAGATCTCTCAGTGGCCCTGATCTTGTTTGATCCTTTTCTCTATGCAGTCTTCTTATTTCCTCCTCAGGAGTATCCTGGAATGGTTTGGATTTTGTCTGTCGAGCCCTCCTTCTGCCTGTATGGCTTCTGGACCCCACAGTCAGAGGGAAACATTATTCATGAGCTCAGACTTGGGTGGGGACCCTGGGAGGCTCTGTGTGTCCTTGCAAGAGCTCCTTCTTCAGAGCGCTGAGCCATAAGCTTCTTTTCCAGTATTGGCGATGGCCATGCCAATGCTTCCTCCTTCTTGTATTGTGGTCCCCACCCTGGAGGATGTTGGGCAGCTGCCTGGGATGTGTGCAGGGGTCTGTGATCATGACATAGAGGTTTTCTTTTGCAATAACCAGTGCCTGTAAGGACATACCTTAGCTTTGTCCCCTGTGACCCTCCTGAGAAACTTGGTCCTGCTTCCTAATAGTGCCCATTAAAGGATAAATTTTTAAATGATAGAATAAATAGTGAATGGAAAGTTTAGGAAAAAAGAGGAAAGAAAAAGCAACCATGTCAAATCCCAGCCTTCTAATAGCAACAATGTTCATCATTTCACTGTACTCCTTCCTGCTTTTTTTAATGTGATATTTAGAAAACATTTATAATCATAGTGCGTACATATGCATTTGCAGTGATTCAGACCTTGAGCATCCTTGTTCCTGATAAAGATTCCTGTGCTCCTCCAGCAGGAGTGACAGGTGGCACCTCAGGCAGGCAGACAGGCAGGGGTGGATCTTCGGCTGTGCAGAGAACACTTAACATCTTTTCTATGAATCTAAACACCTTCCAGCAGTGATGTCCTGGATGGATGCTTTAAGGGTTTCTCTGCACGGTAGTCAGTTAATCCTGAGCCCTTCTACCTCACAGAGGTCTGCAAAGAGAAGTCAATTGAAGGTTAAATTTCCAAAGACCATAGCCCGTTCAATAGCTTGTGTTCTCAAAAAGAGAACATCACCTTCATTATCATCTCGCATTTGTAGAGAGCTTTACTTTTCAAAGTGCTTCCCCATTTGCCAGCTCCTCAGTCCTGGCGGCCACCCAGTAAAATGCTCATCAGTATTTTCATCTGCACTTGGCAGTGAGATATTAGAGAAGTCAAAAGACTTGCCCAAGGTCACACATGTGAACCACATCCAAACCCCATGCCCTTCACCTAACCAGTGACAGCATTTCTCTGGGCGCCATATTTCTGCCTGTTTCCTCCAGCACTCAGATGGACTTTCAGCGCACTTTCTGGCTGGTTTTCTTAACAGCCCTCCTTTTCCTCCCTGCAGGGGGCCGTGATAAGCGAGGCGGACCCATCCTGACTTTTCCAGCTCGGAGCAATCATGACAGAATAAGACAGGAAGACCTGCGGAAACTCGTGACCTATTTGGCCAGTGTGCCAAGGTAAGGTGGAGGGGAATGTCCTGCAGGGGAGGGAGTGAGGAGCTGGACTGAGGCAAGTGAGTTGGAATGAGGCTCCATCCTGCCAGGGGCCCAGTTGTTTCTGCCCTTGAAGTGGATTCTAATTATTCCTGGAACATCACCCACAGTTCACCTTGTTCTCATCATTCCCATTGTTACTGCTGGGACCCATATGAATGGAGTGGGAGCCCTGGGTGGAGGTGAGAACAAGGACAGGGGCTGGAGCAGGAGAAACTATGGCCTGGGGAGGAGGGTGGGAAGTTGCTGTTTTCGTTAGGGAAGTGGAAAGTCTGGCTGATTCCACTCTGGCTTGTGCAATGGATTATTTTCAAAACCTCTGGCTTGTGAATGTGTTTATGGCTTTTGGGGTTTGGGGCGAATAACTGCACTTGTATCACACAGCTAGATGCAGCCCTCAGCTCAGTCACCGTCAGACATTTTCAGCAGGGTTTATATTGCCTCCAAGGGGGTTGAAAATTGGTTGGGGGGGGGCCTAGTGAAAAGCTTGCTTTTTTTATGTATTAAGCACAGATATACATACTGCACCTAAAAAGGTGTGCGGTATATTCATGGTATTAAAATTTCGTCACTTGGGGGGTGCCTGTGTGGCTCAGTCAGTTGAGCATCTGACTCAGTTTCGGCTCAGGTGACGATCTCAGGGTCCTGGAATCGAGCCCTGCATTGGGCCCATGCTCAGTGGGGAGTCGGCGTCGGATTCTTTCTCTCTCTCTCTCTCCCCCCTCTGCCCCTCTCCCTGCTCACATGCTCTCTCTCTAAAATAAATAAATAAAAATATTTTTAAAAAATTTCATTGGGTGGGGCAATTAAAGAAAAAAAGCATTAAAAAGCTCATTTAGGGCAGGGAATGATGATAATTTTAACAGGTTGAGAAACATTGGTTTCTGAGCGTTTCCAGGTAGTGCTGGTCATGTTGGTGGTGGAGAGAGACATGTCAAGGCCATGGCCTGTATCTTCTAAGAAGGGAGAGGAGAGGCCTTTGTAGACTCAGAGATCCCAGCATGTGAGAGCTGAGAGAGCCCTGAAAAGCAGTCTCGGCAGCTACGTGTTGTGTTCTGCTTAGGAATCAGGGTCAGTGGGGATGAGAGCTGCTCACAGGACAGTGAGCAGGCAGTGGCTGGCCTACAACTCTGCCCTCCTGACTCCTGCCCCAGGACGCTCCCATCCTTGCCCTTGGCCAGAGAGATTTCTGTTCTCTGCCACTTAGTGGAGCTGGAGCCTGGCAAGTGTTTGTCGTGGCAAATAAGAAGTGGTGCCTTGGGCTTTTGGGATCTTCTTCTTGTCTCTGTGCATTTTATAGGGGAATTAGTAATTACAGAGAGGCGCTCCATATACAGCCCCGCCTCTGCTGGGAGACCTTGGATAATTGTTGAAAGTGCTGATTACGGATGCCTGGGTGGCTCGGTTAGTTAAGCGTCTGCCTTTGGCTCAGGTCATGATCTCAGGGTCCTGGGATTGAGCCCCGCATCAGGCTCCCTGCTCAGCAGGGAGTCTGCTTTTCCATCTGCCTTCCCCCGCTCCCCGCTTGTGTTCTCTCTCACTTGCTCTCTCTCTCAAATAAATAATTAAAATCTTTAAAAAAAGAAAGTGCTGATTAGGTTCTTGAAGCAGGTGTCCAATGAGGCAAGCACTACATTTAAAAGTGCTACGAGGGAGACAAATGTGAAGGGATTGGTAGACAGTGATGGGCAGGTGGTACAGGGGATTTAAGACAGTCATTTGGGGCTTGGGAGGATATTGACTAGAATGGGGAGCCTTGAAGACCCCCCGCAGAAGGCTGTGCACAAACAGATGTCAAATAGTGTCTCTCTTTTTATTCTTTATGATATCTGCTGGGGGTCAGAAAAGAGATAAAAGGTCTTAAGTTCCAATGAAAGGGATTCAGGTTATATCCAAATAAGAACTTCTAAACTTTGAGAGCAGGAGTCTTTGGATGAAGAATAGAAGAGAATACTTTTTTTTTTCCTGGAGGTCTTTGTACAGAAGAAATATTCCCTTCTGTCTCAGAGGCAAGGAGATGGACTAAATCACCCATGATTGATGTAGGTAATTTAGCAATTTAGTTATCTAGGAGCTAAGCAGTTTTAAAAGTACCTTTCCCAAGTATACTACTAACAAGCATAAAACCAGGCATTTTCTAAAGCAGTTTACAAGAGAAGTTTTCATGGGGACCCATGATGAACTCTCAGTTCCTTTAGAGTCAGAAGAAATTGGGGTCCCAGGAGACATGAAGGGTACATTTTTTTTTTCTTTCTGGTATGTTTATCACATCCCTGCAGCTAATGCACACTTACCTTCTAAAGAGTAGAAGGTAAAAGAATTAGAAGAACACTTTCCTTCATTCTGATTTGTTAAGCAAAGATGGGACAAAATAGATTGGCAGCAATAAAAAAGGAGGGGGTGAAGGGGAATGAAACCCACAAGGGCCTGAGAGGAAGGTCACAGAAAAGAAGAAATAATACATTATCATTGAAGGAATGTACTGGATGCAAGCTCTCTGCTTCTTAGAGGGTGGTCCCAGGCATTGCATCCTGTGCCCCTGAGAGCAAAAAAAAAAAAAAAAAAAAATTCTTCACAGGTTCTGGCCGGTGGGAGGCAAGTATCCTGTTGCCACCTTAAGTGGGAAGAATTATTCTTGGAGACCTGCTGCCTCTGTCTCGAGGGTCTTTGTTTACCAGGAGTGTGAGCACTTGGCAGGTTGCAGACTTTACCAACTAATCATGCCCACCCACTACTTCTTAATTCTGTTGGCCTCAAGTTCACACAAGACTACTATTGGAAACAAAATCTGGAACAGAATTGTTCCAAAGACCGTGAAGTCTGGAGAGAGAAACCGAAGAACTTTGCAGGTCAGATGGTGTTTGCCACTCTTCTGCTTAGCCATGGCTTTGGGAAAGAAGGGAAACTATGAAAATGAATAGCTAGATTAGGTCGATGATACTGATGAGAAGAAATGATCTATTCTGGGTCCTGGCTTCAGGAGGCTAAACGACAGGCTCCTGTCGGGGTGGAGTGTGCCCTATAAACTGATACAATCATCTGTAGGTGATATTTGGCATTCATATATTCATGCATTTATTCATTCTTTATTTATTTAACAAATATTTAGAGCCTCTACATGCCAGGTAGACTGAGCATTCATGGTGAGCAGGAACAGACATTTTGATAAAGTTAGGTAAAACTTGGGTATTTCCCTACCCAGTGCAAACCAGTAGCCATAAAAGGCAGTACACTGTATGACTGTGCTGATAGCAGAAGAGATGAGCTGGCCAGCAGAAGACAGGCCAGTAAGGACCAGTAAGTGATGAAAGAAGATCCCAGAATCTAAGGAACCAGTCATCTTGAGGCCAATTCTGGCACCATTCTAGAATAGATGATCAAACAGATGGTTGTGAAAATTTAGAAATGAATGGGAAGAAATGGTCCCACTATCCTCTGTGAAAGCTAGGCCACTTCTGGACCACTGCATTCAACTCTGCAACACTGAATTCTGCCAGTCCATTTTAAGAACGACATCGAGCCCTTAGAATAATGTCAGGGGAGCAGCACATTGGGGGATCTACAAACTGTGTCTCTGCAGTTGAAGGATTGAAGGATGTTTTCTGGCAGGAATGAAAATGGAAGAAAAGTGGTTCCTGACTTCCGGTGTCAGGACAGCTGCCCCAAAGGAGAGGGAGCAGGCATGGTTAGAGATTAGGACTCGAATCTGCCCACGTGGGAGCTGTCCAGCAGTCTTGCTGCTGCCTTTGGAGAAAGTGGGCTTCCTTTCAGTGGAGACGGGGTGACCTTCTGTTAGGGAGGCTGTAGGAAGAATTCTTCCATCGGACTGGAGGCTGGATTGGATAATTTCTAAGAGGATTTCTCATCCTAAATTCTGTGTTTCTATGATAGTGAGGAAAAAACACGTCATAAAATCTAGGACCTCAAAACAGTATTATCACTCCCAACAACATACACTTCCTTTCTCAGGCTCCCTAAATAAGTTAGGGCCTGGAATTTCACTTCAGATGGTGTCTGCATCTGAAATCTTAAGAGAACTGCTTTCCAGTCCCTTTGGACTCTGGGTGGGAATTTAGCGGCATCATCTGGGACCAAAGATCATCCTGGACTGTGACAGTTTGGAACAGTCCTAGTAACTCTTTTGGGATCCATCTTGACTTGAAGTAAGCCCTTTCCAACTTCTCTTTTGTGTTCCTGATGGGTCTGAGCACCCATCTCCAGGCTCTTCTCCACACTTTCTGTCATCTTCTTCTGAGGAATCATGGACTATCAGAGTGGGAAGAGGCCTGAAAAGTCTTCCAATTCAACTTGCTAATAACTCCATTTACTGAATTCAGCAAATGTTTGCTGAGTGCCTACTATGAGCCGGGGCCCGGATAGGCATCTTGGTGGGCTCTCTTCTTATCTTTTCTGACTGTCATCCGTGCTATGCTCAGCTCACTTTTTTTATCCTTCTGGTCTGCTATCTGCTTGCAGCTACTTGTACATGAAAGGAACAGAAAGGAAATACTCAGATACGATCAGCTGATGAATGTTCCTGGAAATTGAGAGGCAGGATAGAACATTTAGCCTGAGAGTAAATAATTGCCCAGGCAGAGCTCACAGTGTAGATAGTCTACCCACTGTGATTATTGAGAGTTGACCAAATGCTTGAAAAAGGAATTCCTAAGTAGCTAGTTAAAAAAAAAAATACTGGATTACTTTTGTTGCATTGAATTTCTCCTCTTCATCGTCTTTATCATCCTGCTTTGTCATGACCATCTTTCTGCGGCTTCTAAGGGCACCAGTTGTTAGCCCCTTGATGTGTCTGCCACTTAATTCTTCTCTTAGCAGTGCAGCTGAGATGCTAAGTGGTCTGGCAAGAAAGGCAGATATCATACTGGTGAGGAAAGATTACAAGAAATTAAGATGGGATAGTCTGTAATGCCAATCAAACCAAGGTGCCAATATTCACAGCTTATTAT